GGATCTGTGATGTAAAGAGATAGGAAACAAGAAGGTTTAAAAATGAATATGCTATTGAGATCCTTTTACGGTAGGGCTACTCTATGTAGCCACATGAGATAAGGTCGCTCCCTGCTTAAGGGACCCTCAGCAGCTCCAGGGCCAGCTGTGCCCCTTACTCCCTGTTCCTTGTGGCCTCAGCCCCAGTAGGCTCTGACTGATGTATGTAAAGTCCCTGCTGCCAGAAATGATGACTTGAACAGGTCACTCCTCGGACTAGAAAATCACAACCTGGGTTCTTCAGAGAGAAGCCCCTTCCAGCTGACCGTATCTACACAGAGAGCAGGTGGAGAAGCCTGAATGCTCAGAAGCCCTGAAGGGACCCCTAAAGGCAAACAAGCAAACTCTAAGCCAGCTAGCTGACAACTGTCAACACAGCCGCAGTTTGATCTAACAGCTAAACTAAAAATAATCTGACACTTCACCACAGCATACTGGCCTGGCTCTGATGTGCAGAGCAAAGGCTGAGACACAGGCTGCTGCAGCATTTCCAGCAATTTAATAATGACGTCATGAGGGATTCATAGATTTGAATGAGAAGATCACCCAGGAAGGCAGCTCCTTAGTGCTCAGTTGATTAGGCTGATGCTTTGTCTCTCTTTTAACAGCAATTTGTTTGGTCTCTTTAGAAGCAGCATACAGAGGGGGTCAGGTGTGCTGTTGGCTTCTTTCTGATGGTACTTGGTGATTATGCTCCTTGGATATCTTACTGGCACTACTGATAGGTCTTGCTCATACTTTGTGTAACCCTTCACTAGACAAGGAGATCCTTGAGGGCAAGAATCATGTCTTCATCTGTATCCATCTCTCTGTCTCTAGTACCTAACAAGGCCTGGCAGTTTAGAACACTCTTAGGAAAATATTTATTAGACTAGAGGCCCGATGCATGAAGATTCGTGCAAGAATGAGCCTTCCTTCCCTTGGCTGCCAGCACCGCCTTCGCTCAGGCCGGAGCCGCCTTTCTGCCTTCCCATGCTTCCCAGAGGCCTGGAGCAGCTGGGGTGGTGCAGAACGCCTGTGTTGTCGCCATGGCGAAGAAGCAAGCATCCCGCCCCGCCCCCCGCCGCTTGGTGCCTGTGTATGCAAATTAACCTGCCAGCTTTTGTTGGATTAAGTTGCATACCCACTCCTGATTGGCTGGTGGGCATTGTGAAGGTATGGTCAATTTGCATCTTTCTCTTTTATTAGTGTAGATAAATGAACAACTGAAGAAAAGCAAAAGTACAACTTTGGGAGGAGGGTTTTAGGAAGTTTCTTGAAGGATATATGATTGGTCTGAGTCTTCCAGGAACTATAAATTCACTGCAGTTAGTAAAACAGTGAGGTAGAGAGGAGGAGATTGAATGTTCCAGGCATTTGAAATTCCCACCAAGGAATGAAGTGGTTCAGTATAACATATGGGCAAAAGGAAGGGGATGAAGCTGAAAGATGGGTACGGTCCAGAAGAACCTTGCATACTCTGCCAAAGAATTTGAATTTTATAATGTGATACATCACATAAGCAAAGTGAAGGATAAAAGTGATAAGATCACACCAATAGACGCATAAAAAACATTTGACATAACCCAATATCTATTGATAAAAACTCTCAGCAAAGTGAGGATTGGGGAACATACCTCAACATAACAAAGGCCATACTGGTATATGATAAACCCACAGCTAAGGTCATACTCAATAGTGAAAAGCTAAAAGCAGCTGATCAATGATTCTCTCTCTTTTTCTTTAAGATCAGGACTAAGATAAGAAGGCCCACTTTTACTACTTTTATTCAACATAGGCATGGAAGTCCTGACCACAGCAATCAGACAAGAAAAAGAAATAAAAAGCATCTGCATTGGAAAGGAAGAAATAAAACTGTCATCATCTGCAGATGACATAATATTATATTTGGAGAGAACCCTAAAGATTCCACCCCAAAACTACTAGAACTAATAACTGAATTCAGTAAAGTAGCAAGATGTAAAATTAATATTCAGAAATTGATTGTATTTTATACACTAATAAAAACCAATCAGAAAGAAAAAGAAAACAATCCCATTTACAATTTCATCAAAAGAATAAAAATACCTAGGAATAAATTTAACTAAGGAGGTAAAAGACTTGTACTTGGAAAGACATTGAAAACGGTGAAAGGGATTAATAAGAAGCACAAATTGAAAGTCACAAAAACAGTCATTGGGATGTAAAGCACAGCATAGGGAATATAGCCAATAGTATTATAATAACTATGTATGGTGCTAGATGGGTACTAGAATTATGGGGGTGATCACATCCTAAGGTATGCAAATGTCTAATCACTATGTTGAACATCTGAAACTAATATAATATTGTATGGCAACTGTAATTGATAAATAAGTTTTTAAAAAAGAGTTTGAATTTTATTTTTCAGGTGATAGCAATCACAAAAAGATTTTCAGTAGGAGGGGAATATAATGAGATTTCTTATAGAAATTTTTCTTTGGCAACAACATGGAGGGTAATTGAGATGAAATTTCAGAAATCAGCTTAGAACAGTGGTTCTCAACCTTGGCTGCACATTAGAATCACCTGGGAATCTTTTTAAAATCCTGATTTCCGGGCCTCATCCTCCAGAAATTCTGTTTCTTTGTTACTAATGTTGTGGCCCCACCCCATAACAAAGAAACAGAATTTCTGGAGGATGAGGCCCAGAAATCAGGATTTTAAAAAGATTCCCAGGTGATTCTAATGTGCAGCCAAGGTTGAGAACCACTGGCTTAGAAGAAACCCTTGCAGTTAATAGTTCAGGTGGGAATTTTAAAGGTCTGACCTTTGACTGAAAAGGCCTATATCTTCTTCTTCCTCCCACTGTCAGCTTTTCATCACCAGCAACACTATCAGAACCTCCTTCAGGAGCCAGGCCTGGGGATGCTGAGTAGTAAGAGAAAATGCTAACCACAATAGTTCTTCACCAACACTTTCATCTTAGTTGGGCCACCCCAAAAGACAAAGTGGACTTTTCCAGAAGGTCTATGAGCAGAAACCGACCCCCAACCCACACACACAAAAAGAACTGCAAAATTCCCCCTTTAAAAAAAATGATTTTTTTAAATATTATTTTTATTGATTTCAGAGAGAAAGGGAGAGGAAGAGAGAGCTAGAAACATCAATGATGAGAGAGAATCATTGATCAGCTGCCTTCTGTACACCTCCTACTGGGGATCGAGCCCACAACCCAGGCACATGCCCTTGAATGGAATCAAACCTGGGGTCCACAGGCTGACGCTCTACCCACGGAGCCAAACTGGCTAGGGCTGCAAAATTCCTTTTGATGCCACAATCCTTGGGCACCTCACTTCTCTCAGCAACGATTGTGCCCACCCACCACATTGTACTTTTTCAGCAAGGGAGTGTACAAGAAGAGGCAAAGGGAAAAGAGGAGAAGAGGAAGGTGGTAGAGGAGCGAGGCAGATGGGGAAGGCCCTTTCTTTACCTCATTTGTGAATAAAGAAGAAGAATGAAAGCTGTTACAAGAAGAGTAGAAGCTGTTTACATCTTGTGGCCCATTAGCAGGACTCAGATTTTACAAGGAGATTTAGGATAGATGGAAAAGCTTATTCAAGGGAAAGATCAGCTCTCCCTCCACTCTCTGGCACAAATCTGATGGGAGTTAAAAGGAGCTAATCCCTTTCCCTAGGACCCGGGTCCTCAGCCTCAGCTATACAATGATATTAACTATTAACCAATAACTAAAAAAATATGCTCATGCCTGAATCATACCCCAAGAGATTCTAATTGAATTGGTCTAGAATGTGGTCTTGGAACTGGTCCGTTTATAGAATTCCCTGGGTGATGTGAATGTACAGATGAGCTGAGAACCATTGCTCCAGGGGCCACCAAGTTTTCTGTAAAAGGCCAGAGAGTAAACATATTATGCTTTGTGGGCCACATGGTCTTTGTTGCAACTACTCTACTCTGCTGTTTTAGTGTGAAAGTAGCCATAGACAATATGTCAATGAATGGGCCCAGCTGTGTTCTTATAAAACTTTATTTATAAAAATAGGCAGTAGGGTGAATCTGGCTCATGAGCCATAATTGATTGCTCCTTATTCTAGAAACACACTCCAAAGGAAGTAAGTCAGAAATAGAGAAAATAGGAAAAAAATATGCTAGTTTATAAAAAAGGCATTTGGAAGAATGCCTAGTTTTATTTTAGTACAATAAGATATGTTTCTGAGGTCCATTTCATAAAATGCTTGGGTCTTCTGAGGAAATGAAGTTTTGGTAGTTGACAAAAATTCACTTTACCAACCCTGCAGTAGCTATCTGTTAATAATGACACTGTGTCGGTCAATTTTACATTTAAAATCTGATAACAAAGAGTTCGAATTTAAAGTCTCGGTTCCATATGAGTTAGGCCCAACTTAAGGCAAAGTGTCAGGTTAGATATGGGGAGTAAAAGAAAGAAGAAAAAAAATAGACTATTAACTTCCATTAAGCCTTTATGCTGTTTGACTTCTTAGGGAGATCATGTACGATGGATTAAAACAATACAATAATGACCTACAATGGTGAATTAGAAGAATTAGACATGAAAGATGAACAACTTAAACTTAGAACTTAAATCAAGACAGAAAAAAATTAAAACCCTGATAAGAAGAGAGTCCTACAAGGTCAGGGAGGTGGGCTGGTGGACTGTGTTCTCCAATTTCCTTGGCTAAAATTCAGTTAGGAGCCTTTTATTTCTGTTTTGTTTGGTTGTTATTGTTTTGTTTTTAATTCTACATGCATAGCCAATTTTAATTTATACTATTGGATTATGCTGGAGAAATCTAGAGAAAGCAGACATTAGAAAAATGAACTTTTGCCTAATTATGAAGTTTCTCTTCCATCCTCACTGGTTTCATCACTCTCTATGGAAAAAGTAGTAAATGATAGGTTGCTGCCAAGCATGCTCCTTGTAGTCAGGGCTCGATGAGCGGTGTGGGTTATGTTGTCCTTACCTTTATCCTGTCGATGTTGGCTTCCATCTTCAGCTGTTCCACCAGCTTCCTGGCTTGTGCTATGCTCGCAGTGTTGTTGCTAGCCATTGGAGTGCCGGGTGGGTTTTTCAGACACCCTGAGAAAGAAAACGAGGAAGAAGAATGTATCAGAGAAGTCAGGAACTGCCAAATGCACAAGTTCATCAGAACCGAGGGATCTCAAAAGAGTGGCTGGAGCCAGGCCTGGCTAATCCAGCCCTCTCTCTCTTCAGTCCAGCTCTGCCTCAGACTGTCAGGTAGACCAGAATATGGAGTTTGCTTTTCCAACTCCCCTGACCTTCTGCCCTTCCGTCCTTATTTAGGGGCAAAAAATGAAGTTGGTTACCGAGTCAGCCCTAATAAGATGTGCTGCCACATTAATAAAGCAAGTTATTAACATGATCATAGTTTATTAAATAACTTCAAAATAATAAGGGTGAGTGTACACATTGTTACTGTTGTTATTTATAGGGTACGACTATTGTCAGATACTGTGGTAAGTGCCCTGGGAGGATGAGTGAAAGTCAGGTGGAGAGAGGAATGGGAAATTATGTAATCCTTCAGGACCAAAGACACCGAATTTACCATGTTTCCTTAACGGGCTCAAACACCAACTTTTTGGTTGACTCTAACCACCTGGGCCTATTAAACTGCAGAGACACTGCAATGGGAGGTGTGGCTTTGCAGTGTCACTGATCAGCATTGTTTCAAATAGTCACTTCTCTTCACTCTGTCTGACAGATGGCGTTCTTCACAACTACCCACTTTCCTCACACTTCTTCAGAAACACATCTATAATGACCAGGGGGAGGGATTGCCAGGTCTAAATGGCTAATTATGTCAATGGGTTCACGAATGGCATTCGAAATAAAGTATAACAGACATTACCTTTAAAAATGTGAAAATAGAAGACAAGTGTTTAGAGAGCTCCGCTCTGCATCTATGTAGCTTGGGAGATGGCTTCTTTGCCCAGGCTCTGCCAGACCCCCTCCTATCCTTGGCCCACCCCCTTCCACTTCTTATCCCAATTTCATTTTTCTTCTAATTCTTTCTTGGCCCACCGTCTCACTTTATTCTTGTCGTTCATCTCGGAATGCCTCCTATTCTATTTTCAGTGCCCATTTTCCCCGCCTTCTGACCAGGTCTCGCTTCTGCCAAAGTGCTATGTGCTATTTCAGGACCATCTGTGTAAATGCGCCCCTTGGGGTCACCGACCCCCAATAATGACGCACTGTCTGCAATTTCACTAGCCCTGCTGAGAGCTGCATGACTCAAGAAACGCGAAGCATCACAACACTGCTGCAGTCAACATGAGTTGAAGCTTGTTCTGAAGACATTATTTTAAAAACCGTGACTTCTGCTAGCTTTGGGGAATATTTTTATCTACAGATAAAGTAGGATCAGGTTACCATCTAAAAAAGGAAAGAGCACTTGTATGCATGCATATTAGCATAACCAGTGGACACAGACACTGGGGCCGTGGGGGCTTGCCTGGGGTGGGAATGGCTGGGGAGGGGGCGTCAAGCAGGGAAAAAGGAGACATATGTAGAACTTTAGACAATAAATAAAAAAAGAAAAAAAGAAAGAAGAAGGTAGTTCACAGAACAGCTACAGCAGATGATAAAAACTTCAGTTCCCCTTGCTATTTTATAAAGAACACTGAAAAATAAACTGGAAGATAAGTTAACTGTTTTCTCAATTTATTTTCAAAGGGTTTGGAGAGAATAAAGTGGGAAGGAAGATGCAAGGAATTTTAAAGCCACCAAGATCTCTGACTCTGCTTTCATATGCTTGAAGACCAAGAAACATGTAAAAACAAACACAAAAATAAATAAAAGGAGGCTTTAACAACTGTGATTTCATCAGCATGGTTAGGGATCCAACGATCTTAGTGCTACAGAGAAATTAAGTATATGCCCCTAAATCAAACAAACATCTCACCAGTTTGCAAAACCTTACAGGGCCAAGATGGAATACTGACTTACCCAGCAGAGTGGCCTAACTCTTCCATTCATCCAGAGTTGGAAGCAGCCATGATCTACAAGCCCCTGGACACTGTTTTGTGAAGCCAAACTAAAATTTATCACACGAAAATACAGACTAGAATACAGACCATCACAGAATTACCAAATCCTCATGGGGCCTGAGGGAGCTTTGAAATTCTGGTCAGCTATTCTTCTGCCCTTGAATATAAATGAGATCAGAAAGATCACAGCTTGCTTCCAAATACTCCTTCTTGTTCTTCATTATATATAGTTTTTTTTTTTTTTTTTTTTTTTACAGAGATCCCCCTCCTCCCACCTCCCACCGGAATCCTGAATTTTAACTGGGCATATTAAGCTCAAAGATACATTCCCCAGCCTCCCTTGCATCTCAGTCTAGTTAAATGACTTAAGTTTTGCCAAATGAGATATAAGCAGAAGTATCCTTGAAGAAAGGGGTATAACCTTTGCCTCCCCTTCCTCCTGCCACTGGCCTGGAGGGTAGTCATGTTGACCATAGAGCTCCATCTTGAACCTCTAGGCTACACTCCAGGGTGAGCAGGGAGGAGCTGGGTCCTTACTGACATGGTAGAGCCACCAGACCAGTTGCGAACTGGTTACCATCTATGTGAAGAGAAATGAGCACTGATCTTGTTTCCATCACCATTATTAAGGGTTTCTCTGCTATTGGCTAACAGACCTGCCATTAACTGAGTACATAACCCATTCTTTTCATTTGACTATCTAAGAAAGTCTATGTCTTAATGCCTGCTCATGTTCCTGGGAAAGCTGTGGATGTCCTGAGGAGACTGAGCTAGAAAGTCTATTGCTCTTGTAATACATTCCTATATATTAAGTAACGTAAATAATAGAAGTTTATTATCCTGCAGTTTTGGAGGTCAGGGATCTTAAATAGGTCTCCCTGGGCTCAATTCTAGGTGCTGGCAGAGCTGCATTTTTTTCTGGAGGCTCTGAGGAAAAAGCTCTTTCTTTTCCTTTTCTAGCTTCTGGAAGCTGCCAGCATTCCTTGGCTCTTGACCTTTTTCCCCATCTTCAAAGCCAGTGATTGTGAGTTGAGTCCTTCTCATGTCATATCACCATAATATCTTCTCCAGTCACATTTCCCTTTGACTCTCTTCTGCCCCCTAACTACATTGGGCCCACCCAGATGATCCAGGGTAATCTCCTGATCTTTAGGTCAGCTGATTAGTAACCTTAATTCCATATGCAACATTATTTCCCCTTTGCCATGTAACAACATATTCACAGGTTCCAGGAATGGGGACATGGACATCTTTGGGGGCCTTTATCCTTCTTACCATAGAAGGAGACCTCTGTGCAGGCAGAGAAGGGAAGTAGGAAGGTTGGGGTTGAGATGGGAAAAGAAGAAGAATGGGCAGGATGCCAGTCTAGACATGCTGGGAGAGAACATGGTGGAAATCGAAATGGACTTAAGTTTTAAGAGAAAAAATAAACATAGGCTTTGATTTGTGCTCCTTGTTTTAGGAAGATACATCCTGAATGTTCTTGTTTTACCATATGACCCAACAGAGGTCTAGCGCCCCTTTGAGAATCGCTTTGCACATTCTCCTTTTTCACATCCAGCTGCTTTCCCATAAAAGCACTGACAAAATTCCGTGCCCCCCGCCCCCCCCCACCCCCCCGAAGACTGAAAACTGTGGAGTCCTAGGCCAGTGTTCCAAAGAAGTATGTGTTTTCCTAGAAAGTGGCTGTGGTAAATAAGAAAAGTTGGCCTATCGTTTAAGCTTGAGGCATTTGGACAAAACATTTTATACTTACACACACACACACACACACACACACACTCTTTTCATCCTATAAAACTGAAACTCAATAAACAATAACTCCCATTCTTTTCTCCCTTCAGCCCTGAAAAACACTATTCTACATTCTGTTTCTGTGGTTTTGGCTATTCTAGATACCTCATGGAGGTAAAATCATACACTTTTGTCTTCCCGTGACTGGCTCTGACTCTCTTCATGTCCTCCAAGTTCATTCATGTTGTAGCATGTGTCAGAATTTCCTTCTGTTTTAAGGATGAATATTTCATTGTATCTATATAGCATATTTTGCTTATCCATCTATCTGTTGATGGATACCTGGGTCACTTCCATGTTTTAGCTACTGTGAATAGCACCTCTATGAACATGGATATATAAATATCTTTCCATGACCCTACTTTTGGTTCTTTTGGGTATATCCCCAGAAGTGGAATTGCTGGATTATATGTAAATCTATTTATTTTTTTATTTTTTGAGGAACAGCCATACTGTTTTCCACAGTGGCCGTACCATCCATATAAAAAAAGGGTAATATGCAAATTGACCCTAATGGTGGAACTACCAGGACTGCCCCTTGGTGGTCAGTGTGCTCCCACAGGGGGAGCTCTGCTCAGCCACAAGCCAGGCTGATGGCTGCTAGCACAGCAGCAGTGGTGGGAGCCTCTCCTGCCTTCTCAGCAGCACTAAGGATGTCCAACTGAGAGAGGGCGCAGGCTGGGCTGAGGAACCCCCTCCCCCCAACTGCATGAATTTTCATGCACTGGGCCTCTCGTTTTACATGCTTATAAAAAGTACACAAGGGTTCCAATTTTTCTTTATCCTCACCAACACTTGTTATTTTCTGTTTGTTTGTTTTTTTGATAGTAGTCACCCTAATAAGTGAGAGGTGGTTTCTCTTTGTGGTTTGATTTTTATTCCATAATGATTAGTGATATTGAGCTTCTTTCCCTATACTTACCAACCACTTGTATATCTTCTTTGGAGAAATGTCTATTCAGATCCTTTGCCCATTTTTGAAATAGTGTTTTTGTTGTTGAGTTTTAGTAGTTCTCTATCTATTCTGAATATTAATCTCTTATCAGATATATGGTTTATATTTTCTCCCATTCTATGAATTGACTTTTCACTTTGTTAATAGTATGCTTCGATGCATACAGCTTTTAATTTTCATGAAGTCCAATTTGTCTATTTTCCTTTTGTTGCTTGTGCCTTTGTTGTCATATCCAGGAAATCATCACCAAATCCAATGTTGTGAAGCTTTTCCCTATGTTTTCTTCAGAGTTTTATAGTTTTAGCTCTTACATTTAGGTCTTT